TAGGAAGCAGGCGACGTGTCCGAGTTTGCCCAGTGGGTGCCAGCAGGCTGGCTGAGGCCTCTGGATCCCTGGGCAGTGTCCAGGCTTCTGAGGGGGTCACCCGGACCCAGGACCCCGAGGGTGAACTGCTCCGGGCTCCTCCGGCAGGGGCGCCCAGATGCCACGGCAGCGTGGGAAAGGGAACCCTGCAGACCAGGACCTGAAGCCTGAGGGCAGCCTCCGCCCAACCCAAGCGGGGATCAAACGCCTTCAAGCCCAGACTCGGGGATCAGAGAGGGGCAGTGGGCGCTCTCGAGACGAAAGGGAGCCTGGGTGAATCAGGAAAGTCACTGGGCTGGAAAGTGATTAAAGGGTGAGCGTGGGAGGGGATTTCCACAGAGAGCGCTCAGCCGGGAGCAAGTCCAGGCGGGCCAGCTGCAGGCCGTGGCTCTCCTGAAGGCTGTTGCAATGCTGCCCGTAAAACCCAGATCCGTGGAGACGTGAAGCCTTGATCTGGTTTCTTTTTTCCTATGTTGCCCTTTAGAAAAACAGATCTGAGGAAACTCCAAAGCTCTAGAACAAAGCATTCTCTATCAAAGGGGTGTGAGCAGTCAGGAGACGTCTCTGGGAGAGGCCAGCTGGGAGGTGTCCCCAGACAGGTGGGCTTGTGGGGACCTGGCAGCGAGCTGGCCCACCTTCCTCCCTGTCCTGGGGCTGCAGAGGAGACTGTGGGGGAGAAGACTCACTCCTGCTGTCTCTCCAGAAGGACCACAGCGCGTACCCCGAGACACCGCCAGACACCAGAGGCTGAGGTCAGAGAGGGAACGGACTTGTCCCAGGTGTCACGTATCTGATGTTGTGTATCCACCACTACAGACTGCCCTGATTTCCCCTGTGACCACCTAGGGGCTGTTATTGTCATTTTAAATAATATACCTGGCCCTCACTTTATCGGTTCATTTACTGTAGGTAGTGTTTATTGACTCCTGATGATGAAAGAATGGGAAATTCTTGTGTTATCTTTCTTCCTTCCAATTTTTGTTGGCTCCATTTCCGTTTTATCCAGTCACTCAGCAGCTACGTACTGAGGCCCTACTGTGTGCCAGACGATATGCTGGGTGCTGGGTCCACAGGGTCAAGAAAACACACAAAACTCCCTGCTGGCATGGAGCCTGCATTCTAGTAGAGGGGGTGGATAGTAAGTAAGGAAAACATCAAGACTTTCAGAGAGACATCAGGCAGGGAAGGAGATACAGTGTGTGTGTGAGAGAGAGAGAGAGAGAGTATGAATGTGTGTCTGTGTGACTGTGTGTGTGTCTTTGTGTCTGTGAGTGTCACTGTGTGTCTTTGTGTGTGTGAGTGGGACTGTGTGGGGCAGTTTCAGCAGGGTGGTGGGACAACCTCCCAGAGAAGCTGCTGCCTCAGAACAGAGCTGTGTGAGGGGAGGAGACAAACCCGGAGATGCTGGGGGGCCATGGTCCAGGCGGGGAGGAGCCGGTGGCCCTGGGCGAGGGCTGGTAAAGAGGCCGGTGAGCTGAGAGGGGCGGGGTTCAGGTCAGGAAGAAAGGGGCAGCCCCCAAGGGCTGCGTCACAGGCCTCAGGCTCTGGAGAGTTATATGCAAAGGGGCAACTTCTGCTCCCTTCAGTTTAAGTTTGTATGGCGTTAATATACACTCTCTTCATAAATAAATTAATCTTCAGGGCTTGTTCTATGGACTGAGCCTCACAATCAATGAGCACTAAAGTGAATTTACAATAAGATTAAGTAAATACTGTAGAAAACAGCAGAGATTTTACTCCTGGTTCCTCTCCAGTCCCGTTCTTGCCTCCAACCCACCTTGTCCCATCTTCCTTTCCATCCCATTCTGGGCAGTCCCCTGGAGCAGACCGGATGCCCTGCAGCTCAGAGCATCTCCAGGGCGCTGGTCCCTGGGGCCGTTTTGCAGTCCAACCAGTTGCAGCTGCTGTAGGCAGATGGACAAAGGGAGCAGACTGGAGCAGGGGCCTGCGGAGGGTAGGGAGCTGACACGCGGGGACGTTCTGTGCAGCAGTCCCACGTAGGGTCAGGTCCAGAAGAACTGAGGGAGTGTGTCCAGGACCCAGCCAGGCCCCAGCAGCTGAGCGCCAGCGCTGTGCCCAGGGCCGTGTTCCCTGGGGTGCAGTTCCTGGGGGCGGGGTCCAGATGCTCTGGCAAACAGGGGGTGTCAGCGCTAGCCCCCTGCCCCTCTGGAGCCATCAGAGGCTCAAGTAATCCAGCTGGGGTCTGAACCTCTCCCAGACGGGGCCACCAGCAGAGACCAGCTCCGGGAAAGGTTTAGAGTGAGCTGTCTCTCCTCATCCCTGACAGACCTGGAGGGCGGGACTCCCAGGTCCCAAGGATCTACAAGCAGGCCCGGGAGCTGTGGGGCTGGGAACCGAGGCTTAGTTGCTAATGACCCGACGTTTCCACAAGGGGCCGCCCTGCTGAGCTCCCTCCCGGGGCCTTTGGCCCAGTGTTCCCGTCTCTTTCCGGCCCAAACTCCCGTGTCCAAAGGCCTGGCGCTCCTCCACAGTCAGCTGGAGAGGAGAGTGCGGGTGGCTGGTTCCCACCTAAAAGGAAATCTGTACCCCAGATGCCGACACAGGGGAGGTCCTCTCAGCCACCACTGTCTCGCCCAACTTTGTCATTTAGAAGCCGTGCGACTTCATCTTAGGTTGCTCCGCCTCTCTGATCTCATCCGTCAAGCGACTCAAAGACACGTGAGGGTGCTCTGCAAACGTTTAAAGCCAGTTTGTGAAATCACCTGGGCCTGGAGAGAGCACCAGTGTGTCCCAGGCCTGGAGAGGGAGGGGTGACCACAGGAAACCAGCCGGAGCGGAGCTGGTCTGGAGCTGGCTGCTCAGGAGAATTCCAGATTATGCAGGTCTCGGCCGGCCGGGCGCGCGCCCCCAGGAGACGCCTACGGAGGAACAGGGGCGGGGCCTGGGCGCCCCAGGAGGGTGTGGCCAGCAGACAGGCTGAGACCTGGGGTTCCTAAGGCCGGCCGCGGCCCTCACTTGACCTCCCCCCTCTGCCACCTCAGACGTTGCCAGTCTTGATGGCCTCTCTTCCCTCACGGCCGACCACGCCCTCTCCGGGAGGGCTGGGGGCTAGCGGGCCCACGTGCGCGTGTGGGCGTGTGCGTGCATGTCTCCTGCGCAGGCGGGCTGCAGAGCTGTGGGTGGGAACTGACAGCCCCTGACCTGGATGCTGTGGGAGGGGGCGGGGGGGCGGTGCCTCCCCTCCCCTGGACACGCTCTGTCCCCGTTAGGCTCCGCTCACTGGGCAGGAGGGTGCAAACATAGGGTGTGGGCACACCATCATTACTACGTATCGCTATTCCCATAATAATCTACTATTAACAAGGGTATGAACAGGCCCTTAAGACGGAAAGTCCTGGGGGAACGGGCCAACATGGGGTATGCATGATGACCCGTGAGAGCCTAGTCTAGTCTCAGGGTTCCCATCTTCCTCTAAAGTCAGTAAAAGTGGCGGAAGGAGTGGAATGACTTTTTCTTTTCAATTAATTTTTTGGGGCAGCGCCGTGCACCTTGCAGAATCTTAATTCCCTGACAGAGGCCCCGCAGCAGTGAAACCCTGGAGTCCTAACGACTGGACCCCCAGGGAATTCCCTGGAATACTTCTTGAGCCTCCTTCCAGTGCTCCTCACAGATGTTATCTTGCTCATTAGAGTTCCCTGAGATCAGAGCCAATTAGCCTTCCCTCTTGACAGATGAGGAAATTGAAAGATAATGAAAGTGGGCAGGACACAGCCAAGGGGAGGACTTGGGGTCGCAGAGCTGGACACGGCTGAGCGACTGAACACCAACAGCAACCGCAAAGGTGGTGTCCACAGGAAGCTCTGCAGGTGGCAGAGAATGGGGAGCCTTCAGCTGGGGGTGGGGGTGGGGGTGGGGGACGGGGGACGGGGGACTGAACCTGGGGGAAGAGGCAGCAGGCCCCGTCCGCCAGGCCCAGGTCTAAGTGGGCTGAGCGCGGCCCTGTCAGTGGCCGTCCCAGGTCCCAGTGCAGACTCGGTGCTTCCTCCTCCCCCGGGAGGGGAGGCTGAGGGGCCTCAGATTCATGCCTCCTAAACCACACGGGGATGGAGGCGGCGTGGGAGGCTGGGCCGTCCAAGCAGAGACCAATGTGGGCAGCCTGTCTGGGGCCCCCACACGTGGAAATCTGCCCAAGAGGTAGGAACCCAGCTTAGCCTGATCCCCTCTCCCACCCCACCCCGCCCAAACCCCAGGACCGTCCTCATTTTTCTGATTGCGCAATGCCAATGGGCAACTGGCCAAGCGAGGAAGGGGGTCAGAACTGGGGCAGGGTTCCTGTGGCCTGGGGTGCTCAAGCAGCTGTCTGGCAATTCCCCGCCCCCGGCGAGACCCAGCCGTGCCTGTGGGCGACCACGGAATTGGCCCCTCGTAAGCAGCTAGGCCTCTATAGTCTAGACGACAACCCCTCCTTCCCCTTCCCCACCCCGCGCCCCACCCCCGCCGAGTCCAAGGCCCGGAGGTCCCCAGGAGCGGCGGACTAAAGGCCCGAAGGCCCGAGCGGTGGGACAGCAGCCCCCTCGGTCCCCATTACCCCGCCCCCCGCCCCACGCCCAGAACCCGCAGGGTGACCGCGCCCCGCCCCCGGGCGGACCGGGCTCGCAGGGGAGCGGACGGGAGGGGAGCGGATGGGAGGGGAGGGGAGCGGATGGGAGGGGAGCGGAGGGCGGGCCGGGCGCACTGGAATGCGCGGCGGCGCAGGAGGCAGGGGGCGGGCGCCGGACATGTGAGGGCACATCCCGAGAGCTGCCGCCCGGCGCGCAGACGGCCCAGGAAGAGCGGGCGAACGAGCGAACGGGCTAGGGGGCTCTGGGGCCCGGGGCCGGGGCGGCGCGGAGCGGCGGCCAGGGCCGAGGCGGGGCCCGACAGGCACCAGGCGCGCCGGCCGGGCGGTGGGGAGGGCCGGCGGGGCGCAGCGCGGCCTGGCCGCGGCACCGCGCGCGCCCATGACGGCGGCCGTGCTCCGGGAGGGCGTGCTGGAGAAGCGCAGCGGCGGGCTGCTGCAGCAGTGGAAGCGCAAGCGTTGCGTGCTCACCGAGCGCGGGCTGCAGCTCTTCGCGGCCAAGGGCGCCGGCGGCCGGCCCAAGGAGCTCAGCTTTGCCCGCATCAAGGCCGTGGAGTGCGTGGAGAGTACCGGCCGCCACACCTACTTCACGCTGGTGACCGAGGGCGGCGGGGAGATCGACTTCCGCTGCCCGCCGGAGGACCCGGGCTGGAACGCGCAGATCACGCTCGGCCTGGTCAAGTTCAAGAACCAGCAGGCCATCCAGACCGTGCGCGCCCGGCAGAGCCTCGGCGCCGGGGCGCTGGTGTCCTAGAGCGCTGGGGCGCGCCCGGCCTTCCCGAGGTCGGCCGCGTCAGGTGAGCCCCCGGGTCTGAGCCCCCCTCCTCTCTGGACCTCCTGTCGCCTCTTTCCCCTCCGGAGGAAATGGGGGCCCTCAGCCTGCGTGCCCCCTCCAGGCTGGGCCGGCCGAGGGCCAGCGGGAATGGGGAAACCTAGGGGAGAGCCCAGGAGTCCAGCCTGGAGCCAAGAGTCGGCCTCCCCCGGGCGCCGGCAGGGGGCCGGACTGTGACCTCCCTCTCCGAGAGGAGGGTGGGCGGCCGGCCTCCAGAGGCTGGTTCTGCCCTGACTCCCGGAGGAGGCTGGCGGACAGGCCGCTGGGCCTCCACCCCTGCCAGGGCGGGGCTCCTGGGTTGAGGGAGCCGGGGTGGGGGTGGGACAGAGGGGGATGGGCTTGCCCCCACTTTCTGCTGGGATGACTCTCGCCCTGGAGTTTGAGCTGGGAACTGTGGCAGGAAGACTCCCTCAGTGGCAGGGTGCTCAGGGTTGGGACGGTAACCAAGAAGCCGCGGATCCCAGGGTGGGACTTTGGCAGAGTCTGGGCTGTACCTGGGACCTCCACTACCTGTCCTCGGGGTGGGTCTGGGGGGGTCCTAGGGCTGAGCTGTTTGGGAAACCAGGAGAGTTGGGAGGTTTGCAGGCAGGCCACTCTGCCAAGGGAGGTGGGCCTGTCCACCTGCCCCTGGTGTCCAGCATGTGCGCTGGGCGTAGAAGGGGGCTGGAGGAGGGGTTGGGGCCCTGGTGGTGGGTGGATCTGGCCACAATTTGTTGTTTGTGATGCCTTGATCGTCCTTGGGCCCTCGGGCAGGGGCAGGGGGCGGGCCTGTGGTCAGGAAAGCTTGGCAGGGACCAGGGGCAGAACCAGAAGCCCTGGCTCCCCCACCCAGGCCCTCTCGTGGGAACCGGGAGCAGGTTAAGGAACGTCTAGTTTGTCTGTCTTGTAGGAAACTGACATTCTCCTCCCCCACGGCCGTGCTTCCGAACCCCCCCCCCCCCGCCCCCGTCCTGCAGCTTCTTCCTGCTGCAGGTGGAGCCCAGCACCCCGCCCCTCCCACCCCCCACCCCCGTTGATGGCCTCTCAATGTAGTGGGGGGCCCTGAGTGGTTGGTGACAGGCAGACCCGTGGCCTTTGAGCTGGTTCTCTTTGGTGCCCCTGGCCTCAGGGACCCGGAGGGAGCAGCTCCCTGCGGGGGTCACAGGGTGTTGTACAGACACCCCATGTTCTCCTGAAATGCGGGAGCAGGTCCAGGGGCCCTGGACAAACAGCTCCTGTGGACACACTCCCCACCGCACCTGCTTCCGCCCTGACGGCTGTGCTTCCTCTCCAGCTTCTGGGCCCCGTTTGGCTCTTGGGGCGTGACTGTGCTCCTGACTGTGCTCCGGGTGGCGAGGCTGCAGCTGTGGACACCCCTGTGGAGGAGGCGTTGGAGTCACGGGTCAGCGGGAACCAGCGAGGAGGGGGACGGCCACGGGGGCGCTGAGGATGAGGATTTGGCCCCGGGCGCTCAGGCTATCAGGACGTGCCCGCCCTGGGCCCAGCCTCTGAGGTCGGCAAAGCCCTCGCCCGCTGTGGCCCTGGTGTCTGCTCTGCAGACTGTCCGCCTCAGGCTTGGTGCCGTGCCTGCAGGAGGGCGGCCCCCAAGGGGCGCTGAGCCAGTGCCTCAGGACTCAAGAGGCCCGCCTGGGGCCCACGAGATGAACCCCCCAGGCTCAGCTCTGGATTCACCTTGGTGGGGGGAGCTGATGGGCCCGAGACCCACTCTTGGGGTCGTCTGCAGCTTGGGTCCTTTTTGGGAACCCCACTCCTCCAGGCCTCTCTTTGCACACTTCTTCCCCCCTCCTGCCCATCTTCCCCGCACTGCCGTGCCAGGCCTGGAGGTGGTGGGGTGGGTAGAGGCTCAGCCATTACCATTTCACGCCTGTCCCTGAATCTGATGCCCTTCAGAGGGCAGTGACCACGCTGTTCTCTGGGTGAGAAAAAGACCTGGTATTGGGAACATCTCTCTCCTCGCCTCCAGTTTCCCACGCTAAACCCCATCCTGGAGTCTCCAGCCTGGGGAGGCCGAGACCCTGCAGTCCAGAGAACACGGCCTCAGAGGTGCTGGAAGAGGGGCCACGGGGCCTGCACGGGCCGCCGTGGGCCTCTGCTGTCCTCCTGGGGGGCGGCTGAGTCTCCCCAGCAGGGCTCGTCCCTTCATCACTCACACACTTGGGCCTGCTCCGCTGACACCACGTCTTCTCCGCGCGATGGTTTAAAAGGAATCGTTTCAGCAAGAGAGAAATGGAAGTAGAGACAGCACTGCCCTGAGTGACACAGCGACTGCCCATTGGCTGATCCACGTCCGGCCTGCCCCGTTGCAGTGTGGCGGCTTCCGAGCCCGATGGGGCAGGAAGACCGAGTGTCCGCCGCAGGAGTCTGGACGCTGCTTCCAACCCTCTTCCTCCCCGCAGGCTTCTCCTCCCACCCGGTCACGACCCCTGTCCTTTGTCCCCGTCCCCCAGAGCCCTCTGCAGCTTCTCGTTTCTCCGATGTGTGAACCTCATCTTACAATCGAATAAGAACTTACAAGGTACAAAGGCGTTTTTACAGATGCCTCATTTGTGGTCTCAGGCTGTCCACGCAGTCCACGATGCAAACAAGCACCCTCGCCCGGGCCAGCTCGCGCGCTGTGCTCAGTCGGTGATGTCTGCCGGGAGCCTCGGGAGAACGGTGTGGAGGCTGGCGGCCGTCTGTGTGTGGGTGGAGCGCGAGAGAGCTTGGTGTTGCCACTGCGTCCTGGACTCAAGCTCTGTGAGCGGCTTGGCTTCATCCCGCTGTAAAACAGCAGGTTCTTAGATAGATCCTTGCTCTTTCCAGCAAACCGAGGGAGGTGTCCAGACACTCAGAAATGGGAGTGTGTTTGTGATCAGATGGGATCAGGGTGTGGGACACGCTCGTCTGGCAAACACAAGCCTCTTGCAGGCAGGCCGGGGGGAGTGGAGACGGAGCACCTGGTCTGAGCCGAGTCCAGGGGGCGAGCAGCTGCTGCTGTGCCCTCGAGAGGCAGGTGCAGTGGGGGGTGTCCTCAGCAGAGCCAGTGGGGGGTCACCCCGGGAGGCTGGCTGTGCAGGGTAGTGAGGGGCAGGGCCGCTGTGGGGTGGTTTCAGCTCCTGGTGCTCCCTGTTTTTGGGGAACACCGCCCTGTTGGCTCCAAGTATGCTTTGGTTCCTGTCCAAGCCCACTTGGGCTGCTCCGTTTGCCAGGAGATCCCGGACCCTCTGAAAGGTGTGCTGCTGTGGGCCCCGCACGGGGGATGCTGGGGCAGCTGGTGGGTGTGTGGAAGAGGAGAAGCACTAGGAACCCTGGAAGCATGGGGCTCAGACCTTCCTGGGGCGTCTGCTGGGGAAGAAGGCCCTCTCCCTGGGATCAGGGGTAGCCTCACGCTCTGCCAAGGGGAGGAGCCTGGGCCCTGTGCTCACCCCTGGGAGTGCTCAGCTGGACCACTGAGTGGGGTCAGGGCCTCCCGGGGGCAATGAGAGGCCCGGCCATACCCTACAGACAGGCACAGGGTGGAAAAACCTCGCTCAGAGGAGGCCCGGGTGGGGCCCTCGCCATTCTTGCTTGCCCGGCTGCCCTGGCCTCATCCCTGCCAAGCCCTGAGTCATCAGTGGGAAAGTGAGGCAGGGCGAGTCCTGGCAGGCGGGGGCAGGGGGCCCTGTTCAGGTGAGAAGGGTGGGGTGGAGGCTCCGACTAGAACCAGCCTGTGGCAGGGACTGGGGGTGGCGGCCGGGAGCCTCTGGAAGCGGGGGTCTGCAGCAGGGGGAGCAGGCACTGCACCCCGACCTGGAGGCCCTCTCCCGGAGCTGGGGGTGCAGAGGCGCCTTGGTGGTGGGGCCAGCAGGCCTCGTGCAGGGGCCCTGGCAGACCCTGGCCCACTGTGCACCACGTTGCAGGAGTCTGGGGTGCCCCTCCCGGCCGCCGGAGTGTACCGCCTGGGACGCGGCTCACCCTCCTGATCAGAACCTGGTGCCTGGAAGACGTCCCAGCTCCCTGGAGGCGCGCCCTGCACCGTCAGGCATCTGCCTATCCCCACACTCCCAGCCAGGACCCCTGCGCAGGATGGGCAGGGGCCCTTGTACCCCCACTGCCCCCGCCCTGGGGACTCTCCCTGCTCCATCCAGGCCGCAGAGCCGCTCTGCTCCTCAGCCATGGCCCCGTCACCGCCTGGGGTGGCCACTCCCGCCGTTCATACGCGCCACTGTCCCGAGTCCCTGGGACTCGGTAGGTGCCTTGTCATCACGATGGTGAGTGAGCCGACTCCATGCGCCCACGTCAGCACAAGGGTCATCCAGCCACGGAGGCTGTGAATTCAGAAACAGGTTATGTGACCTACTAGGCATCCCAGCTTCTAACTGGGGGTGGGCCCTGGATGTGTGCACTGAATCCACAGCAGATGAGCCCTTCTTGTGGGGTTATGGGCTAGTGGCCGGGGAGAGGGGCTCGCAGGTGGGCGGTGAGGGTGAGAGCAGAGGCTGGGGGCTGAGAAGGGGCGTCGGGGGGGGCTTGTTCAGAGGGCGCTCGTGGACAGAGGCTGCAGCCAGGCCTTGACGCAGCGCTGGGTCCAACTCCAGGAGGGGACCAGCAAGGGGCCCCTCAGCTTGGAAGGGTCTGTGTGAGCCTGCAGGGGCAGCCCTGGACAGGACCCCCTGGGGCAGCAGAGGAGCCCGGGGCAGGGCAGTACCTGTCCTGTATTGGCCCGAATGCTCCATCTCACAACATGGGCACAGGGCCCATCCTGGGGGTGAGGCCTGGGCTCTGCTGACAGACCCTGTGCTGTGCAGCCTGGCCCTGAGACCCACAGGGGGGCCACCTGCTACCGGAGTGAGCGGGGACCCCCCCTGGTCTCCACACTGAAAGCTATGTGTCCCCAGAACGCCGCAGGCCCGGGCCCTTGGGCCATCAGTTACCCCCCTCCCACACTGCCCAGG